TCGGATATTTTGGTGGTTCCGAAAATTCGTTATACAAGTAACACCAGACCATGGCGTCGCATGCAAAGAAATTGTCTGCAAGCAGTAGTTCTAGTTCAGGGCTCAACAGCATGATGACAAACAGATGTGACTATAGTCATGGTTGTTTGCCTAATGAACTGTCCTCCGTGCGATAGAATGGATGTAAATTTCATTAGTACAGTAAATGTCTTGCTTTGCATCATCTTTGAAGTGTTGTTACTGTACCTTGATCATGATCGTTGTGCGATCGGTCGAAAGGTTCATTTCCGCTAAGTTAAGAATTAGTTGCCTAATCGCGCTGTAAACAATATGATATGTTGGTACAGTGGTCTAAGAGATCTGTTCCGAAGTCCAGAGATGTCGTGTTCCATTCTGTTCAAGGGCAGTCCTTGTCTTATTCAAGAATTCTCCCTGAACAAGGCATTTACGACACAGCGCTGCAGACCGCGGTTGTTGCTCAGTCGGTAGAGCGTCGAACTCAGAACTGATAGGACCGAGTTTAAACTCTGGTCAGAGTCATTCACCTTCCTTCCTTCCTTCCGAGGTTGATAAATGAGTACCAGTATGTGGGAAAGAAGCATGAGACTACACGCTACGCTTGCCACACAGCTGTAGACTCTGCTTTTGAAAAGTAGCGCACTCCTGACTGACAGTATAAAAACGGAGATCAGCGCCGTACCATCAACTCCTTGAAAAGAATGGCGCCAGAATCCCTCAACCATGAAGGTGAAGCAAGATCGACATTCACGGGTAAAGAATTTTTCTTTCCTTGCTAATCATAGAGGAGAAAAGAAGGAAATGAGGTCATCTTCAATCGTTCAGACCACAGCGTCGGTAAACGTTTTCGTCATTATTAATGTCGTCATTTATTTAGAGAATACACGTGGTTACAAAACAGTTTTCGCAATTGTTTCGTTAAGAGTGAATGTATAGAGGCCCCACTCCGTACGCCCGACTCAAAGTCTTCATTGTAAATAGTTTTGCCTTTGAGGCTATCATTAATATCCATCGTCGTTGCAGTGCATTTCCACGTTAGCATTCCCTTTTGGAGGTTATTCACTGGTTTTACAGCTACCGTAACGCCTCGAAAAATTACTGCCGTCACGTGAACCGTTACTCTGAACACTTCCCAGTCTCGACAATGTAAACGTCATGCTGGAGATGTTTAGCGACGCCGGGTTGGAGCTATTAGGCCCACAGCTGCGACAACCAGCACTTACAAGACGATGTTCTTTTTAATTCAGACCATCCATAATGCAATGAACAAGAACCACTAGCCAGAA